GCAAGCAGCGTGTTTATCTTAACTTTTTATTGAAGTGCAAGAGATCTTACAAGAAAGTAAGAAATATTATGGTTTTAATATATATAAAATTCCTTTGGTTTTTAGAAAAAAGAGTTCATGAGCGATGGTCATTTACCATCAGGTGCTGCTGCCTTCTTATTAAAAAGAATAAGAGATAAAAAAATAAGTAGATTTTTTCCACATCGTATAATTCACCTTCTGAGATGACTAAAATTTACTAAGTCTAGTTATCCGACCGCTCAAGAAAATGTGAGAAGAGCTTTCCACGTGACGACGTTTGAGGATGACTCACTTCGCGACTTTCACCTTGTTAAAAACTAATTGACATTTTGCTGTTGGACTTCTTTTGTGTATTTAGTTTATAATTGTAGCGGGAATTTTAAATTTTTAGATTACTTACTTGTAGAATTAAGCTCTTTTCTTTGCTGATCTTAAAATCAACGGCTAGCGTTAAAATTTTAAAAGTGAAGTTACGTCTTATGTCTAGTTTCTATAAATTTGCAAACGTTTTGATTTCGCGTTTACGTTCCGTTATGCATTGCATAAAGTGCCAGGAATAAATAACATTTATAAAAATGCTGTGTTTGTGTGTTTCTTGCTTTTTCATTTTTCAGCATTTTAAGTCTCCGAGACCTTTGCAAAAATGTGCCGGTAAATGTACATTACTTGAAAGAGTTTCTTCTGTAATATCTAAAAAGAATTCTGTCCGATCCTTAAGGGTGCTTTTAGGTATAGCGATATGATTCACCGTGTAGTGTCGTTGTAAGAATATCCTATATATAAATATATATAATAACTACCCCATATCATCCCATTGGTGTCGTAGGAGGCGACAGAGGGAAACCATGAGGCAATTTATAATAATAATAATAATAATAATAATAATAATAACAAGGCTGAAACATACCGATACCTGGGTATGTCACAGAACATCGGTATCGATGAGGCTGGTATGAAACAGTCAGTTTGCGACATGTTTTATGCACGCTTGACCAAAGTGCTTAACAGCCTTTTGTCCGGTGTGAATAAGACACACGCATATAACGGTTGAGTCATGCCTGTCCTCATATATACCTTTGGCATTCTCAGGTGGACTCAGACCGAACTTAACGCCCTGGATAGAAAAGTCCGCACTACCATGACGTCCCATAGGATGCATCATCCGAGATCGTCGGTAATGAGGCTGTACTTGCCGCGAAAGCATGGTGGGCGTGGTTTTCTGAGCGCGCTCACCATGCATAATCGCGAAGTGTGCAGCCTCCGTGATTACTTCCTGGCGAGATCGGATGATCCATTCTATAATGACGTCATTTCTAGTAATAAAGGGCTTACCCCTCTATCCTTAGCCAACGAGCAATGGCAGGACCCAGCAGTGCTTAGCATTTCCGACCGGGAGACCGTATGGAAGGAGAAGGAGCTCCACGGGAGGTACTACAGGGGCTCTTCATAAGCCCTTCGTAGATACAGTCGCCTCCCTCAACTGGCTACGTTTCGGTGACCTCTTCGGGGAAACCGAGGGTTTTGTCTGTGCAATACAGGATCAGGTTATTAAGACCAACAACTATCGGAGATACATCCTAAAGAATAGCACTGTCGACGTCTGTCGAGCTTGTCGCCATCCCGGTGAATCACTTAGGCATGTCATCTCCGGTTGTTCGGCGCTTTCTAACTCTGAGTATTTGCACAGGCACAACCTAGTAGCCAGAATTCTACACCAGGAGATCGCTCTCAAATACGGTCTCGTGGACCGGAAATTGCCGTATTACAAGTACTTGCCGGAAGCCGTGCTCGAAAATGACCACGCCAGGCTCTACTGGGACCGGGCCATCATCACAGACAGGACTATTCTTGCGAATAAGCCTGATATTGTGCTGATGGACCGGGCACAGTCAAGGATATTTTTGGTCGACATTACCATTCCGTATGACAAGAACCTCGTGAAAGCCGAAACAGACAAGCAAACAAAATATCTAGACCTGGCTCACGAGGTGACCGACATGTGGGGTGGTCTGCCGACCGAAATTATTCCTGTAGTCGTCTCTGCAAACGGGCTAATCCCAGTCAGCCTCTCGGGTCATCTGAGGCGACTGGGACTACGTGGCGGACCGCTCCGGGCTCAAATGCAGAAGGCGGTGCTCCTCGATACCGCCCGCATCGTCCGCCGGTTTCTTTCTCTTTACACCTAACCCTCGGCCGTTTGGTCTCCCCTGCCGAGGGCCTCCATCTGGTTGGGCTTTTATTTATTTAAGTATTTTTTATATTTATTTTATGTTATTGATATTTATGTATATTTATCTTTTCATTCTCATTTATAATTATATATCTATAGAACCCAACCAGATGAGAAAACTATACAGATACCCCACAATAATAATAATAATGGATGACCTCATGTTATTCGCCTGCAGTCGCTCCCATCTTATGGAATTGCTAAACATCACTTGTGAATTTAGCAATTCTATTGGAATGAAGCTGGGGACGGATAAGTGTGCGGTCCTTCATGTTGAAAGGGGAAGGGTTGCTAACTCTGAGGGCATAGACTTATCTATGCCCGTAAACTTAAGGACCCTTTCCGAGGCTGAAACATACCGATACCTGGGTATGTCACAGAACATCGGTATCGATGAGGCTGGTATGAAACAGTCAGTTTGCGACGTATTTTATGCTCGCAAGACCAAAGTACTTAACAGCCTTTTGTCCGGTGTGAATAAGACACACGCATATAACGGTTGGGTCATGCTGGTCCTAATACCTTTAGCATACTCAGGTTGACTCAGACCGAACTTAACGCCCTGGATAGAAAAGTCCGCACTACCATGACGTCCCATAGGATGCATCATCCGAGATCGTCGGTAGTGAGGCTGTATGCCGCGAAAGCATGGTGGGAGTGGTTTTCTGAGCGCGCTCACCATGTATAATCGCGAAGTATTCAGCCTCCGTGATTACTTCCTGGCGAGATCGAATGATCCATCCATAATGACGTCATTTCTAGTGATAAAGGGCTTACCCCTCTATCTTTAGCCCTCGAGCAATGGCAGGACCCAGCAGTGCTTAGCATTTCCGACCGGGAGACCGTATGGAAGGAGAAGGAGCTCCACGGGAGGTACCACAGGGCTCTTCATGAGCTCTTCGTAGATACAGTCGCCTCCCTAAACTGGCTACGTTTCGGTGACCTCCTTCCGGAAACCGAGGGTTTTGTCTGTGCAATACAGGATCAGGTTATTATGGCCAACAACTATCGGAGATACATCCTAAAGGATGGCGCCGTTGACGTCTGTTGAGCTTATCGCCATCCCGGTGAGTCACTTAGGCATGTCATCTCCGGTTGTTCGGCGCTTTCTAACTCTGAGTACTTGCACAGGCATAACCTAGTAGCCAGAATTCTACACCAGGAGCTCGCTCTGAAATACGGTCTCGTGGACCGGAAATTGCCGTATTACAAGTACTTGCCGGAAGCCGTGCTTGAAAATGACCGCGTCAGGCTCTACTGGGACCGCGCCATCATCACAGACAGGACTATTCTTACCGGGCATATTCAAGGATATTTTTGGTCGATATTACCATCCCGTATGACGAGAACCTCTTGAAAGCCGAAACAGATAAGCAATCAAAATATCTGGACCTGGCTCACGTGGTGACCGATATGTGGGGTGGTCTGCCGACCGAAATTATTCCTGTAGTCGTCTCTGCGAATGGGCTAATCCCAGTTAGCCTCTCTGGTCATCTGAGGCGACTGGGACTCCGTGGCGGACCGCTCCGGGCTCAAATGCAGAAAGCGGTGCTCCTTGATACTGCCCGCATCGTCCGCCGGTTTCTTTCCCTTTCCCCCTAACGGATTGGCGTTTGGCCGTTTGGTCTCCCCTGCCGAGGGCTTCCATTTGGTTGGGCTTTTATATATTTATGTATTTTTGTATTTATTTTATTTTATTGATATTTATGTATATATTTATCTTTTCATTTTCATTTATAATTATATATTTATAGATCCCAACCAGATGAGAAAACTATATAGATACCCCCCAATAATAATAATAATAAGGCGTAGGGAAGTGACGACCCCATCGCCCGCTGACGTAACGGTTATGTGACAAAACCGCTACGTCAGCACAGTCAGTCAGCACATTGCCAAGAGGTGTTAGTGCCGTACCTCGGCAAAAATTGAAGGTGCAAAGGCCCGCTTGTGCATATGACCCAACCACGAAACGGTGCCGGGCTTGGGCGTCTCCCGTTATTTGGCGCCCATAAAATGGATGATGGAAGAAACACAGAAAGGAACGCGCATAGGGCCGCTTCCTGGGGGTCGCCGGGGCGCGTCTGGAGCTGGCGCTGGACGCGGCAGCATGCATGCCGCCAGCCGAGCGCGAGAAGCTGCACGATCACCTAGCAGCCCCTCGCATCCATCATCCCCACCAGAAGGCTTGGTGTCGGCTGGGTCTTCTCGGACCCAGCAAGCGGCACCCGCCGCTGGTGGAGTACGTCGCATGCGTTGGACAAAATCCATGAACGAAAACGCATTGCGGGCGTATTTTAGGGCTAAAGGGGAAGAAACTGGAGGTTTTGCGTATCGGGCAAGGATGCATCGACTTTTTGCTGAGCTGGAGCCATCTGTAACCGTCACCGAGCAAAACCTGGGAGACCGAGTTCGGTATATCTTGCGCTCAAATACATTTGATTTTTTTTTAATAGGATATGGTGACAAACGAGCACACAGTCCACCTGATGGTAAGTGGTTGCTGTGGCCCATAGACATTTACATCTATCCTCGATTACGAATCAAAATGCAGATGCGTTGTCACCCGTGAGGACTAAGATAGAATGCCTCGTTTCCAGTAAAATGGGTCTCCGGTTCTCTACACTCACCATACGAAATACAGCAGCATTAAGCTATTATTTCACGCTGGTATTGTGTGAGAGCGTGGTCCTTCCCCGGTCGAGCCGACCCATTCGTGCTACAACTATACTACTAATATAACTGCAGCATGGCTCTACCACGTATGAATTACTTGTTCGAGTTCGGTAATGTTGATGTTACTGAACTCGAACGGCTACGACGTGAGGCTGTTCCTTCATCGGGTGAAAATGCTGCGGCTGAGGATGCGGCGCCACAACCTGCTGAGCAAACGGCAAATGTGGATGCTGCCGTGAACACGCCAGTTGTGGTTGATTCAGACGATGTCGCCCAGGAACTGGAACTAGAGCAAATGAGGAGTACATTGGAAGAGGCGATTGTGGAAACGCGCAGTACGCCTCTCGAAAATCGACCGCTACTTCCCCCGCTTAGCCCTAAGCAAGCGGAATCGGGCTGTCGTGAGGGCTCTGAACCCAATGCTGGTTACCTATTTGGAAGCCAGTCGGGACCTTTGCGAGACGGACTCAATTCTTTTTGGCGCCGCACTGGCAGTCTGCTGTATTATAGGCGCCAAACTTTGTGACATGTGGGGTGATATGCCGACCGAAATTATTCCTGTAGTCGTCTCTGCGAATGGGCTAATCCCAGTCAGCCTCTCGGGTCATCTGAGGCTCAAATGCAGAAGGCGGTGCTCCTCGATACCGCCCGCATCATCCGGCGGTTTCTTTCCTTTTCCCCCTAAACCTCGGCCGTTTGGTCTCCCCCTGCCGAGGGCTCCCATCCGGTTGGATCTTATTTATTTATGTGGTTTTTGTATTTATTTTATTTTATTGATATTTATGTAAATTTATTTTTTCATTTTAATTTATAATTATATATTTATAGAACCCAACCAGATGAGAAAATTATATAGATACCCCAATAATAATAATAAGTTTATTATTTCCTCTCACAAATTTAGTAATAAATATAAACATACAACTTGATATTAATATGTTACGAATTTGCGAGAGACTGGTATCCGTACTAGGATTCCCTGTATGACAGATCACCAGCCCCCACCTTCAGACCTTATAATCTAGGTAATATTAGGTGTATGATAAACAAGAGAAGAAAAAAAAATAAAAACATACGAAAAATGTTGTGTGAGTGTGTGTGTGTGTGTGTGTGTGTGTGTTATGTGCTTGTGTTTATAGCGTTTAGGTTTTATTTCATGATTTAAGTAGTATCTCAGTCGTTTCATAATCTTGACTTAGTATCCATAGGGTTACCATCTTTTTGCATTTAAATTTGGGAAATTTGTATATAGATAGAACGGAATTAATTTTATTATATAGACGAGAAGCCAAGAAGCAGAAGAAATTATGTGGAAAGATTTATTTGTATGGTAAAATGGGAAAAATTTTACTTTTATTTCTTTTATTTGTAAGAAGAGAAGGATTGTAATATAACAGGGAATGTTGTTTTAAAATAGTGTAGAGAATAAATAATTGGCCGACTGAGAGAACTTTACAGCTTTGGTATAGGTCTTTAGTGGGACAGAAAAATGTAAATAAATGGCTCACCTTAAGAAGTGCTCTTTGGTCAAGTTCTAATTTAAATAGATGTGATTTAGAGGTACCACCCCATGCTGTTATGCAATAGGTAATCAATGATTGGCAAAGTGACAAGTAAGTTGATTTTATTATTGTTTCGTCTGCCACATGTCGAAGCTTTTTAAAAATATAGATCTTGCGTAACCTATTAGTTAGAAGATCAATGTCTGCTTGAAAACTCAGATTACTGTCAATTATTATACCTAAATACTTTATTTCATTTACTTTTTGGAGCGAAGGACAAGAACAGTCAATAACATTATTATAATTAGACAGATATGTGCTTTTATATGGAAATTAGGTGAAACAGGTGTGTTAAGATTTTTAAATGTGAATGACATATATTTAGTTTTAGAGACATTTAGCATTAATTTATTATGTGTTAGCCAGTTCATAATTACATTGAGGCCTTTTTGGGCATAAAAATATGCTTCATCTCATGTATCACCGCTGAACAAAAGCGCAGTATCATCGGCATAAGAAACAAGAGTTCCATTTATCAATTTTAACTGGCACATGTTGTTTATATAGGTCAAAAACAGGACCTAAAATACTACCTTGTGGTACGTCATGAGAAACGGGAAGATCATCAATAATCCAATTTCTATTTTAACACATTGCGATCGGTTAGTGAGATAACTTTCAAAGAATTTCAATCGCGATCCTCTAACTCCCAGCTTGTATAATTTGTGAATTAATAGTGGAATAGAGATCGTGTCAAATGCCCTAGCCAGATCAAGAAATACTGCTATTACTTTTTTGTTGTCGTCCATATGTTTAACAGTAAAACCCAAAAACTCATGAACTGCGTCACTTGTAGCTTTGCCATTTCTGAAACCAAATTGTGTATCTGACAGGAGATTTTTGGATTCAAGATACCTGACTAGTCTATTATTTACGACTTTTTCCAAAATTTGCGAAAATGCTGACAGTACAGAAATGGGCTGATAATTATCAACACAGTCCCTATTACCACTCTTATAAATAGGGTGAATCATTGAACGTTTGAATTCATGAGGAAATACTCCATTATTTAGAGATAGATTACGTAAGGACTTAGGTGGAATGCCTCGTTTCCAGTAAAAAGGGTCTCCGGGTCTCTACACTCACCATACGAAACACAGCAGCACTAAGCTACTATTTGATACTGGTATTCTGTGAGAGCGTGGTCCTTAACCGGTCAAGCCAACCCATTCTTGCTACATCTATACCAGTAATATACCTCCAGCACATCTCCATTACGTAAAAAACTTGATTTACTACTTGTTTTTGTTTTGTATAAATCTTCGCCTTGCGTTCTTACTTACGTGGACATCGTGCTTTATTCGCAGAGAATGTGCAGGTTTTCTTAACAAAAACTCTTAGCTCGTCTGACCCTGACTATTTTTTTACAATAAACGTGAATAGTAAGCAAACTTTTCACATCCTATTGTTCAATTGTATCTCGTGTCTCAGTAAGACGTGACGGAGGACGCCTCTGCGACTGTAAGACCTACAATAATTGACATATTTTGCTTTATTTAAATTTTTGTCTGGTTTTAAAGAAACGTACGCCGTGCATTTTTACTATATCTTAATAAGAGATTTAGTTGTCTTTGCATCAGGTTCGTCAGATCTGGTTTCCAATACTTTTAAACTATATCTATGGGTTACTGGCGAAGCAATTCATTCTCTACAACGTTTGGCTATGGCGCTGCAGGTCGGTGGGTAAGAACAAGAGAGTGTTAATTGTTGCTTTTGGCACTACTGTATATATTAAGCAGTGCATAAATTAAGTAATATAAAGAGTGAGAGAGGCGGGTATCGCGCGCGGAATAGTTACAATTTCCAATTTTAATTAAAAATATAATATAAATATAATTAAGGATTTGTGGTCTATCAAATCTGATGTAATGGTTGGATTGATGAGATTTGATAGACCACAAATCCTCGCGAAAGAACACCGATTCCTACCAAGGATGATACGTGAGGCTATTGAAATTAAAAAACATCCTAATTTCAATAGAGAAGGAGGCTGGGTACTACCTCCTGCTTGGGATCCTATAATCAATAAAATTAAAACTAAACCCAAGCATACCACTGCAAAACCTCAAGACATAGTCAGTTCATTTTGCATAGATCGGACCATAAACAATAATTAAAAAAGCTGAAGGTACTCCGGGTTTAACAATGACATCGGGACGTCAGTCATCTCAGTCCCCCGTGACCATGGGTGCTGGAAAGCGCCCGAAACGTCGGAAATTAAAAATAAAAAGTAAAAATAAACGCGATAAAATCCGTAAAAGTAGTTTTAATCATGTGCAATGTTCGCGTAAATATAAGAAATCATTAAGAAAAGAAGATAATGGCGGAGATCCTTTAGCTGTTTATAGCCGCAAATAGCATGTTATGGTGTTTGTGTTTCACAGCACGTCTCTCTGTATCTTTTCAGAGTTCACCTGCTGGTAAATATTCTTTCAGCCATAGACATATCTCTTTTTATAAAATTGAAGTTACAAATCAACTTAATACAACTGATGAGTGGCTGCTGCAGCCCATTGATACCTGCAGCCAACAACAAACAAGAAGGCTACCTACAGATCACCATTGAGGACTCAGATAGCATGCCGGTAATTATACTGGCTATCTGTACCTACTCTTCAGACCGAAACACAGCAGTGCAGGCAGTGTAGGCTTTCCGACAGCAGGAGTAGGTAAGAAGTAGGTACCCAGACTATTCTAGGAAGATAAGACATCCTACTGTCTAGTATAACTTATTTTGCTTCGATTAAGAATCAAATTAAAGAATCAGAATGCGTTGTCACTGAGGACGCGCGTTATTATAATGTTGGCCGGCAGTTTTTACAATTTATAATTTTTAATACATAGTAGGCCCACCATGCAGAATGAATTAATTAAATCGACCGGACAAGAATCCACTAACCTAATCTTCTGGCCGACAGAGGGAAATGAAAAAGGTCGTGAGCATAAACATTTTCCTAATAACTCTAAAAAATAAAAACCCGCATTATATTCACATTCACATACATACTATTCACATGCCAAGCGTGGCAACTATGGCAAATATACTCTGTAAGTGCTCAGCCGTGGACTTTATTAACTTGTAATGATGATGATGATCATTTTTAAAAAGCAAATTTAAGACTAACCAGGCTTATTTTACTGTTTCAGGTACGGCGTTTATGTCTACTGCTTTACAATACATTAAGATAAAAAACCAATGTTGCAACGTTTAGTATTCTGGTTGGGATTCTAACCAAACATAAACAGTTCTGCAAACAGTAACAGGTTAACGGTTATATAAATATTTCAGTCTAAAAGTTCGTTATGCGATTCTAATTTTTTGCTGTGAGAGTAATAAAACATATAAAACTTCTCCGAAACTCTTCCAGTTAAATGTAAGTTATATAAAATGTATTTATTCACTTTATTGAGGTTTTTTAATAGTACTATTTTTAAAGATAATACAGAATAACAGAAACTTCCTGTATCGTAATCCCAAACACGTCGTATCGAAATGACAAGAGTGGGAAATTATTACCAGTTGCCTTACAAATTACCCGGATCCTCCGTGGGGCGGTCGGGTAACTCGGTTACACGAACTCGAACCAGTTTATTTACAACGTATCCAGCAAATTAATATCTCTGATTTAGACCCTTGTCAGCGAGTACAACGGGCGGTAAGGTTCCAGAGCTCGCCTCTGGAACCTTACAGTGGAGACTTTGTCTTGCCCTCGTCGGATGTGATAAATCCTATTGTTGAGATTTTAATACTTTTTGTGTACAACATAATATATCTTACATAGTAACTGTGATTCCCGAATCTTTGAGGCGAATCGCTAAAATGCCTATTAAGTCGTTGTTGGCCTATTAAGATGTAACACAAGAGTTCGCCTTGGATTAAACCGCTTGTCAGTTACAACAGAAGCAAAAAAAAAACTGCCTATGAAAGAATATTAGATGACCTAGAACCTAGAACCGACCTTGA